CATAAATGAGAAAACTCATTGCAAACAGATTACCTCAAGCATATAAAGATTTAAAATTCAGATTAACATTGAGATTTTATATTTCCATAATAAATGATAGATTAAGTTTCGAGGAATTAAAAGAATTCTTAGAATATTAAAGAATTTCTGGAAAACCATTTTAAGATTATTAGATTTTAAAGATTAATAGATTATTAGATTATTTTCATGATATGAAGTCTTATGCCAAATATTTTGTAAGAGATCCAAAGTTCGGGGACTAAAGTGAAAATATTCAAAAGTTGTGCTGGATCTTGCAATGAATATTCGAGAGTGTTTGGAGTCAATTGGATGAAGGAAGAAGTCAAAGGGATCAAGTATGGTCTAAGTATGATCACACATCATTTTCCAGCCGAAAAAGTCATGCTCTATATTTGCAGTCTCATATTGAGACTCATTTTTTACATATCAAACGTTTGAATTGGAAAATGATATCCGAAGCATATTTTAGCCCTTTGAGTTATCTTTCCAAAGCATCTTGAATCACCTCAATCGGACATCGGGAGAAAATATTATGATAAAAATACTAAAGAACTCGCAGTACTAAAATATTATCTTTCCAAAGCATCTTGAATCGCCTCAGCCACCACCGATGAAAATCAACAAAATCATGGGCGCCGCAGCACCACAATCATGTTGATCCAGCTGCAAAAGAAGACGATTTTCTAGGCTACGGTGTTCTTCCACTGTTGAAAAGAGTTGTAGATGATGGAGATCTGTGGAGAGGGAGTTTAGGTTTTGAAGTTGAGAGGATTTCACGGCGGAAATAGGATTTCACGGTTCGAAAATTGAAAATAGGGTTGGGTCGATTTGAAAAGGTTTAAACAGTGAACCGACCCGACCCGACTCATTTTTAAATAAACCCGAACCAACCCGATCTGCGGTTTCGGGTTCATGGGCCCAGCCCTAAAGGCTTTAACATTCTTAGGAGTTAGGATGCTTAAATTTTTCTCGCTCATTGCACCCCCTTCCGGCTTCCGCTGCTTCGGCCTTTTACTTACCAACACCAGGCTCGAACTCTGCCTCTCTCCTCCTTTCCCTAAAACTCTACCAATTAAGGGCTCAAACTCCACCTCCCTCTCCCTAGTTCCATCAACACCAGCCCCAACCGACCAATTGGCGGAAACGCCCCAGCCGTCACGACAATGCAACGTTAGTAATTCTTTTCATCTTCCAACGCTCAAATAATCCTCTCTCTTTAATCCTTTACTACTGTATCTTCTGCTGAATTTAATATCTGCCAACAATTCTTCCAATTTTTCATTTTTATAAATATTTAGGCGTAAACGTTACCTCTCTTCATGAAAACATAGATAATATGGACTTGAAGTCCGTAAGGGTGGTTAGAACTGATTTATGATAAGGTTCAAACTTTGCTGGCACCGTAAAGTTTGGTTTTTTTTTTTTTGCATTTGTTTCTTTGTTTTAGAGAATGGGTCAATTTAACATGCTTAAATTGGCACAGGATTAGGGATATCCTCATGTTGTAAGCTTGTATGCAATAATCCATTTTTGCAGTATGTTATTTTATTCCCCGCTGGCAGTCTTATGCAATTTCTGATTATAATGACCGAACATTGGTGACGTGTCAACTTAGTTGTAATAATGGGATATGATTGTTCAATCTCGCTCTCTCTCATGAAAATTGAACCCATTATTCCACCTAAGTTGCTACATCACCAATGTTACATCTTTCTAATGATAAATAACATTACTCATTCTAAAATGTTCGAGCAATTTCGCTGGTTTATTATGCCAGTATGTTCAGATGCTAATTATAATTAGTGATGCATCAGGGAACTTTATTGGTAGTCATTGTGAACTTTTAGATTACTTTGAGGTGGGAGACTCTAATTATAGAGTGATGCTTGCATAGGCAAACTTCTGCAACATCCAGTCGTTGTAGAATAGCTATTATGACATCTTTTCTGTTTTTATGTGCTGATTTTGTGATGTCCAACGTTTTGTTTATTTGGTTTAGTGGGTTTAGTCCTGACAGTCTCTTTCTTGTGCAGGACGAGAGAACTTGTCGCCTCCCATTTGGGTATCATTTCCTTTTTACTTATATGTGCCTTGGTTTTTATTTTTTCACTTCTTTTTCATTTTGGAAAAAGATCAATAGATATTATCTTGCTATTCTCTTTTCAACTTGCCTGATATGGTTTTGATTCCACCCCACATCACACAATGTTTAATCATAGAATCTTGAGGGACATGGACAAGAGACGAGAATCCGTCTTGTTTCTGCAGGAGAATTCATTCTTGAACGGCACTATGATCAAACAGTCGAAGAACTTGAATCTCTTATGGAAACATCAATTGACGACTACTTGAGAGCAGGGCAAGAGGTAATTTTATTTTGTCCCATGTACGAAATATTATTCATGTTGATTTGTCTTTGTAATTTAATTTGGATTCTGTTATATTCTTAGAAACTAATAAGATTTGATTATTTGGTTCCTCAGAGCTTTGAAAGATTCATGGAAGCAAAAAGAATGGCATCCAAGATGATATGCCTCGAGGGGAAAATTATGAAGTCTCACCCTGATTGGGACTGTAATAACTTAAGTGATGCAGTAATGATGACTTGACTCATTGATTCTTCTGCACAAATCTATTTTATTGATATTGAACATATGTCGATGTTAATAATTGAACAATTTACCTTGTAGGATCTGAAATCATTCATAGACAGACAACTCCAAGAAGAAGAAGCTGGGATACCAGAGGATATAATTATAAAGCGCTTAAAAAGTAGAGCTCATGTTGCATTATCAAGTGGCTTGAACACGCCTGAGTTTGCAAACGCATGTGAAGAAGCAGGAAGCTGTGTTATTTGCATGGTTTGTAACGTTAGATTGATATATGTTGCATATTCTTGATACAAACTATCCTGTTAATATTTAGTTTTAAAAGATTTGTTTGACGAGGAACTGATTTAATGATTTGATACAACAGGAGAACTATGAGAACGAGGATGAGATTGCTAGTCTATGCTACTGCGCTCATGAGTTTCATGCCAATTGCATAAAAGTGTGGCTGCAGCGTAAGAACTCTTGTCCCATATGCAACTCCTTGGCCTTGGTACCAAATGATTATCCAGATTGGGTTAGCGACTTAGGCGTGTTGCGAGCCTTCTTTATGCGCAATGTTACTGGCAGTTACGAAGAATAAACCCTATGGTTAAGTGAAGACTATTATGTTATCTTATTCATGCACTTTATACCGATGAAGAATAAGCCTTTTGACTACTGAAAACTATTTATATTATATAATATTATCTATGCACTTGTTACTGTTGAAAATAAAAACTTTGGACGATTGTAGACTTTACTGTTGCCATTTGCTAGATTTAAATTTACTTGTACACTTTTCCTTGATGATTTTTGCATCTTTATTTTGGGTACTTGATGCGATGAGACATAAATTTATTGATTTATGTGTTTTGGCTTGTGAATGAATTCTTTGTCCATTTGGCATTGATACATACTCATGATAAACAGATTGTTTTGTCCATGTTGAGTTAAACGCATGCTCTCTTAGGGTGTATATTCACTATATTGTTGACCAATTTATGTACAGTGACTTTTATTAAGAGTTCTGATAATGTCACTGTTGACTTATTTTTGCTGCGAAGTTGATTAATGCTGATCATTTAGTAGCAAGATTAACGAACGCTTGTTTGACATAAATATTTTTAGAATAAATTTTGTGAAAAGTGATTTTATTTTTTTTAAATGTGTGGTTAAAAAGTAATGAAATATTATATATTCACGTGCAAAATTATTTTTATTAGAATGTAAGGTTGAAAATGAATTTGAAAAAATACAAGTCCTAAAGAATCTGTACCAAAAAGGCTAAATATGACCAGAAAAGGGTAATTTTCTCTCTCTCTCTCTCTCTCTCTCTCTTTTCATTTAATTTGCAACTGAATAAAATGTACCATTTTATTTTAATGAAATGAAATATATTTTTGAAGACAAACTTGTAGTTTTAGCCTCTGTTTGGTTTAACTAAAAATTATATTTTTAGTAAATTTTAATAAAACCTGGTGAAATGTGTGATCAAAAAATTGATTGAAATTGTGGGTCTTGTAAAATGTAAATTTGATTTAAATTTTTATCAATTTTTTTAATTAAATCAAACATAGGCCGCACCTTTGTTCTATATCCTTGGCTGCTCAAACAGTTTAAAAGTGTT